CTCTCTCTCTCTCTCAAACTCCTGACCGTGATCACCTGCCTGCTGCCACCCACCTGCCCCGTACCGCCCTTGCGCCCCACCCCCTTTGCCTGCTGCCCCACTTGCCGCTTGCCGCCTGCCCTGCCTGCCTGCACCTGCACCGCCGCGCCTCGGCCTCCCAAAGTGCTAGGATTATAATATATATTTGGTAGACACACAAACCTACACATGTGATAAAAGAGCACAGAAGTATATACGCACAAACGTAAAACACACACACACACAGGTAAAACTGGAAAAATCTACATAGGATCAGCAGATTGTATCAATGTTGGCATCCAGGCTGTGACCTTGTATTACAGAACACATAGTATACACATTACATATATATAGATAGTGCTATAGTATAAGATACAGGAGATCTCTCTGTATTCGTTCTTACAAGTGCATGTCAATCTACAATTACCTCAAACTTAAAAGTTTAATTAGGAAAAAACATACCACAAACTTTTCTTTTGGAAATAGAAAAGGTGATTCTTTTTTTTTTTTTCTGAGATGGAGTCTCGCACTGTTGCCCAGGCTGGAGTGCAGTGGCGCGATCTCAGCTCACTACAACCTCCGCCTCCTGGGTTCAAGCAATTCTCCTGCCTCAGCCTCCTGAGTAGCTAGGATTACAGGCATGTGCCACCATGCTCAGCTAATTTTTGTATTTTTAGTAGAGACGGGGTTTCACCAGGCCAGGCTGATCTCAAACTCCTGACCTCGTGATCTGCCCGCCTCGGCCTCCCAAAGTACTAGGATTATAGGCGTGAGCCACTGCGCCCAGCCAGAAAAGGTGATTCTTAAGTTCACGTGGAAAATAAGCAAAATCAGGACAAAGCAAGGATGCTTACTTTGACTTCTAACCCACACTGTCCTGGAAGTTTAGGCCAGGGCAGTAAGGCAAGAAAAATTAAGTCATCCAGATAGGAAAGAAAGAAAGAAAAACCACTGGGATCTATCTCAGTCTTTCTGTAGATAAAGAGAATCCTGCTTGGCTCCCAGAACCATCCCGCACAGAAACTGGGAGAACCATATGAGATTGGACCAGGGTGAAAGGTCAAAGCAGAACTTGGAAGCCCAGGCAGAACAGGAGAAAAAGCAGCATAAAAGAAAAGAATCCTTGGGGTAGTAAGAAGTATTTACTTAGAAAACCATGAATACTGTTTAGTCAAAGTTTACCCCTCCCCTCCAAACACACACTTGAGGTCAGGAGTTTGGGACTAGCCTGGCCAACGTGGTAAAACCCCGTCTCTACTAAAAATAAAAAAACCAGCCGGGCGTGGTAGTGGCTGCCTGTAATCTCAGCTACTCGCGAGGCTGGGGCACGAGAATTGCTTGAACTTGGAAGGCTTAGGCTGCGGTGAGCTGAGATCATGCCACTGCACTCCAGCCTGGGTGACAGAATGAGACTCTGTCTCAAAAAAAAAAAAAAAAAAAAGAACAAGTAATTTAGCAAGATTGCAGGATACAAGACCAATATAAAAAAATCAACTGCATTTCTTATATATTAGCCATACATAAATACAAGTAGATATGAAAATAAATTGCTGAGAGTGATATAAGACCTGAATCCTGAAAACCTTGCTGAGAGAAAGTAAAGAACAAGATAAATGGAGAGTTACTATGTTCATAGATCAGAAAACTCAATGTGGTTAAGATGTCAATTTTCCCAAATTGTTTACAAGTTCCATGAAATCCCAATCAAAATTGCAGTGGGCTTTTTTATAGCAATTGACATGTCCATCTTAAAATTTATATGAAAATGCAAAGAACCTAGATTAACCAAAACAATTTTGAAAAGGAGACTAAAGTTTGCAAAACTACCTAAAGTTAAAAACTACCCAATTCCAAGACTAATTATAAAGCTGTAAGTAACAGAGACAGTGTTGGTATTGGTATAAAAATAAATATATCAATGGAACAGAACAGAGAGCCCAGAAATATGCACCCATAATATGGCCAACCAATACAGGGCAATTCAATAGGGAAAAAAATAGTTTATCAGCAGAACGTGCTGGGAAAAGTGGATATCAATATGTCAAAAGGAACCTAAATCCATACCTAACACCCTATAAAAAATTAACTCAAAAAGAATTATAGGCCTAAATGTAAAACCTGAAACTGTAAGACTTATAGAATATATGAGACAATTTGTGACACTGGGTGAGACAACGATTTCTTACATACACTATCAAAAGCACAGTCCATAAGAGAAAATTTTGGGCAGGGCATAGTGGCTCATGCCTGTAATCCCAGCACTTTGGGAGGCTGAGGCGGGTGGATCACCTGAGGTCAGGAGTTCAAGACCAACCTGACCAACATGGCGAAACCCCATCTCTACTAAAAATACAAAAATTAGGCAGGCATGGTGGCGGGCGCCTGTAATCCCAGCTACTTGGGAGGCTGAGGCAGGAGGACGGCTTGAACCCAGCGGGCAGAGGTTGCAGTTAGCCGAGATCGCATTGCACTCTGGGAGACAGAGCAAGACTCCATTCCCCCCGAAAAAAAATTGTTTTGATAAATTGACCTATACCAAAATTAAATACTTTGCTCTGTGAAAAACACTATTAAAAATAGAAAAGACAAGGCACACACTAGGCAAAAATAATTGCATATCACATGTCATACAGAATTTGTATCAAAAATACAAAAAATTTCTTAGAATTCAACCAAATTAAAATAATGTGCAAAAGATTTGGACAGATATTTCATCAAAGAAGACACAGATGGCAAATAAGCACATGAAAAAATGCCCGAAACCATTAGTCACTAAAACTTCAAGATACCACTCTATGCCTAAAAGAAAGCCTACAATTTAAAAAGACTGATACTACCAGGTACTGGCAAAGATGTAGAGTGAAGCAACCAGAAGTCACATAAAGTTATGGTGGCAATGGAAAATGGTGTAAACACTTTAGAAAACAGTTGGGTAATTCCTTAAAAAATTAAATGTGTACCTATCATATGACCCATTTAGTCCATTCTGAACTACTTATTTACCCAAAAGAAATAAAAGTGGTTCATATACAGACTTCTACAAAAATGTTCACAGCAGCCTTACTCATAATAGCCAAAACCTGGAAATAATTGTTTATTAACAGGTTAACAGATAAATAAATTGCTATACATCATACAATGGACTACCCATTAGCCAACAAAAAGAAATAAAGATGCAACAGCATGGATGAATCTTGAAATAATCATGCTGAGTAAAAGAAGTCAGACAGAAAAGAGCACATATTGTAGGATCCCATTTCGATTAAATTCTAAAGGGCACAACCTACTGAATAGTGACACAAGGCAGCTGAATGTACCTGGCGATGGAAGAGGACAGGATGGAGGGTGATAAACAGTGGCGTAAACTGTGAGGGTGATAAATGTGTTCATTATTTTGATTGTGGCAACGGTATACTCACATATTAAAGTTTATCAAATTGTACACTTTAAACACTGCAGTTTACCATCAATTATACCTCACTAAAGTGATTAAAAAAGAAACCCACCACACTTTCTTTTGAAAACAAAAGACGATTCTTAAGTTCCTGTGGAAAAAACAATAAGCAAGTGAGAATAGTCAGGAGAATGCTTAAAAAAGCCCCCAGCAGAATAAAAAGAGAAAGAAACTGTTGAGACACAGTTTTAATAACTGGGGTCTTAATAACATGATAAAGCTACATAGAGTACTAAATTATAGTTAATAATAAATGAACCAACAGAGATCAATGATATTAACCTGAAAGCCCAGACAAAATATATATATATGAAGAATACATTCACATACTACAGACTAGTCACAGTGGCTCATGCCTATAATCCCAGCACTTTGGAAGGCTAAGGTGCGAGGTAAGGTGCGAGGACTGCTTAAGCCCAGGAATTCAAGGCCAGCCTAGGCAACATGGCAAGACTCCCATCTGTACGAACTATTTAAAAATTAGCCAGGCATGGTGGTATACATTTGTGGTTCAAGCTACTTAGGAGGCTGAGGCAGGAGGATCTCTTAAGCCTAGGAGTTTGAGACCAGCCTGGGGCAACATAAAAAGACGGTCTATACAAAAAAATTTAAAATTAGCTGGGTGTAGTGATGCAAGCCTGTGGTCCTAGCTACTCAGGAGGCTTGGGTCTGCGACACTGAGGCTGCAGTGGGCCGTGACCACACCAAAGCACTCCAGCCTGGGTAACAGAGCGAGATCCTGTCTCAAGACAAAACAAAAAGAATGACCTTCCAAGAAACCATGTGGCAGTTGTAATCCATAAAAATGACTCAATTCTAACACTTACGAATCTATCTTATGAAAATAAAAAGCGTGAGCCAAGAATTATTTCAAAGTTGTTCAGTGTGGAGTTCTTTATAAAATGAGCAAAGTACAAAACTACTTAGATATTGAAAAAATTACGACTTCAATAATGGTATGATATTTAAATAATAAATATGAAATCTTTGAAAAAATTTAATGACAAAATTTATATAAAGTACATCACTTAAGCAATCCTCCTGCCAAAAATTATATAAAGTACAACTAAAAAGGTTTATACACATGATTTTTAAATGATTAGAAGGAAACTATTGAAGAGGTTAACAAAGGTTTTTTACGGGTTAGTAGAATTCTGGTATGTTATGTACTTTTCATTCTAAATTTTCTACAATGCATACTACCTTTATTATGAAAAGAAAAACATAAATGCCATTTGTATGTATTTTTCACATCACACAAAATCTATTTTTAACAAACACATGATTAAAATTTATGGAAAGTTTCTCACTTTTAAGGTGCATATGTAGTAAATCAGTTAGCCAACTGAGAAAATAAGATCATCATAAAAGGAAAATCCGGAATATTACCTGGCTCATTACTCCTGTCTGAATTCCCCAAAGCATTTCACAAGTGACTATGATTTTCAATTTGACTATTGTCTAAGATACAGAAGAAAATAAAGTTTAGAGAAGCCAGTCTTCCTGAAGAACCCAGCTCTTTACTTACCATCTTCTGCTAAGACCTTGGCTGCATCTTTATCATCTTCCCACTTTCCAGTCACGAAGCAATCTCTGATACTGTTCATAACCTTACGCAGAAAAGTCAGCACTTAGGTGAGATGTTCCAATCACTCAGCAAAACAACTCTAAGAAATGGCAGTAGGCAACAACTTGCCTTTAAATATTTCCCACTTTCATGCATATTCTCATTCCAAATGAGCCCAGGAAATAACTTTACCTTTGATGGAGACCGTATAACCACAGAGATAAAACACATTAAGCAGCAGATAGGGAAAGTATTAAATACTACTAGTCTACTAACCTCGTAAGTAAACAAACAGATAATTACTAATTCAACTAATTTTCAATTGTATTAAAAATCTAAGGCATCGCCTTAGAAACTAATGAGACAGTAGTTTATAAAGTTGGTCTTGCTATTTGTTAATCTAAACCTGTCTGTTTGAAAACTTAATTCCTATAATATGGGAGAAGATATTTGTAAATTATGTATCTGATAAGGGACTTATATCCAGAATATATAAACAATGCATACAACTAAGTAATTCAATTTTTGAAATGGGCAAACAATCTGAAGAATATATACAAATAGCCAATAAGCACATGAAAGATGTTCAACATCATTATCAGGGAAATGCAAGTCAATACTATAATGAGACACAATTTCACCCCCTCCAGGATGGCTATAATCAAAAAGACAGATAATAACAAGTGCTGGTGAAGAAGTGGTGAAACTGGAACCCACATACAGTGCCAGTGAGTAAGTAAAATGGCACAGTCACTTTTGAAAAGAGAAATGAGAGAGTATAAAGCAAATGAATAATTATGCGATTCTCTAATTTCATCATCTTCTGATTCAACCAAGGAATAATTCTCCAGTGGAAGAATGAATAAGATGTAGTCCTGAATGTGAACTGGAAATATCTGTATGGACTCTCCTGGTTCGGGTCACTGAGAAGGCCTAGAAGTAATGACCAACTCATGGCAGTAAGCATTCCTATGCCTAGGCTGTCATGTTGAAATACCATTTCGTACTAAAAGAAAGCAGGACTTCTTATGGGTGATTCCAAGTGTTCTCTCATATCACAGAGCAAGAATTGATCCAGAATGACTACGATTATAACACAAGGACTCAGGAGCTGGTGTGCACAGACGCTCAAAGGCCACAGGTGGGATAAAGAGGAGCTTCAATAACGGATAACAGGTACAGGAGCACAAGGCACATCAACTACATTTATATCCATGACATCACAGTGATACTCACAAACAAGTATCCTTTGGAGAATCACTCCAAAAACTGATTAAAAAATCAAGCATGGGCCGGGCGCAGTGGCTCACTCCTGCAATCCCAGCACTTTGGGAGACCAAGGCAGGTGGATCACAAAGTCAAGAGTTTGAGACCAGCCTGACCAACATGGTGAAACGCCATCTCTACTAAATATACAAAAAAAAAAAATTAGCCAGGCATGGTGGCGGGAGCCTGTAGTGCCAGCTACTTGGGAGGCTGAGGCAGAAGAATGGCATGAACCTGGGAGGCAGAGCTTGCAGTGAGCCAAGATCGTGTCACTGCACTCCAGCCTGGGTGACAGAGCGAAACACCGTCTCAAAAAAAAAAAAATCAAGCATTTACCCTACATACATGGAAGTGAATAACCAAATAGTAGAAGAGGAAAAGTTTCTCTTTAAAGTATTACAGCTAATACATAAAGAGAAATGATTGAATAGAACATCACCACTCTACGTTCTTAAGAAATTGATGGTTCTAGGCATTGAGCACCAACAACTGATAACATCTAACATCATTAAAAGGACACAACCAGTCTTTATGCGCCTCGTAATGCGAAAACACCACCACTTAGGAAGCAGTTTTGCTGAAAAATAAAAATCAAATTTAAATCCTGTCCAACCGCTAGATGTCTTGTCTACAGGGTAACTACAAATACGTGGCTATTTAAATTAATCTTAACAAAGATTAAATAAAATTTAAAATTTAGTTCTCCAGTCTCATTAGCCACATTTAAAGAGCTTAGTAGCCACAAGTAGCCACAACCCACAGCTCAGATATACATTCCGCTCGTCACAGAAGTTCTATTAGTATTGCTCAGTACCCACTCACAGGAAATACAGGAGGGCCTGTGAAACTGCAGAGGGATGCAAAGCAATCCACAAAGTCCAGAATACAAGAAACTCTACAGACCAAAGACTTGGTTTATTAAATAAAATGTAACCAAAAAAAGAAATGGGAAGGAAAGACTGTTCACTAAAAATGTTAAAAGATAAGACTGAAAAACAGTAAGGAAAATCAGGTAAAAGTAAACTGTGATGCTTATAGAAGCATGGAGGAAGAAACCAGGAAGAAAAGGAAAGCATCACCTTAAGAGGCTGGACCACACCTCCTTCTACAGGGAGGAAGGGGACTATGGCTGGTGTCACAATTGAGCAGCAAAGCTTGATTTCTCAGCCTGAGTGTTGAGTACAGGGGTATTCACCTTCTGGCAACCCATTAAGCTAAACAATTGTTTTTACATGGTTTTCTATATCTGTATTAAATTTCACCATAAAAAATGGTTAAATAAAATCTCATAAAGTGCACTAAGTGTTATCTGGCGAATTACAATAGGCAGTATGATAGCAATTGGGCCTCTGTGAGAAGTGACATCTAAGCCAAACTGAACTGACAAAAAACAAGGCAGCCTTTGGAAGATCAGAATATTCCAGAAGGGAATACAGAGAAAGGGGCTGGCGCGATGGTTCACTCCTGTAATCCCAGCACTCTGGGAGGTTCCAAGGCAGGAAGATCACGCGAACCCAGAGTTCGAAAGTAGCTCAACATGGTGAAACATTATCTCTACAAAAAATGCAAACATTATTCAGGCCTGGTGGCTCATGCCTATAGTCCCAGCTACTCTGGAGGCTGAGATGGGAAGATCTCTTGAGCCCAGGAGGCTGCGGCTGCATTGAGTCATACACTTGTGCCACTACACTCCAGCCTGGGCTGCCGAACAAGACCATTATCTCAAAAAGAGAGAGAGAGAAAGAGAAGAAGTCTCAGAGGAGGTTGAGCTGTGGTGAGTTTGAGTACTGAATGAATTCCAGTGTGATTACAAAGTGGTGAGCTGCAGGAAGAACATTTACAGGTATCACAGATTTCTCTATGCTTACAAACAGCAGGAACTATAAATGTTAACTCAAGGGTGCTACGTATATCCTAGTGATAAGACACAAAATACATCAGATGTATAAAAACTTATGGGTGATGCTTCAAAATAAAGATGCACACTACTGTCCACACTGGAAGCTGAACCTGTCCTCTGTGGGCCACGCACATGGTCTAACTAAACTCAGAACATGTTACTGTTTAGGATGCCTGAAGTGCCCACTGCAGTATCTGGAAGAATGACCTGTAATCCTGTAAAAATGAGAAGCCAACAACAGGTAAGCAATATTGACATCAGATAATCTTATTCTAGAACAATTCTCTAATTCTCTAATAAATCAAATGTACTACCCAGCCTTACCTCCTCTAAATCCCAGTCATGGGGGGCCTCCACAAGAAATCTAGAACAGTCCAAAGAGTCAGCCTTATGCTTACACTCTCTGTCAGGCTGGTTGACACGAAACAACCCTCCAAGCTCTTCTCGGGTATCACCATCTTCTTCTTCATTATCTTCTGCCACTAAAGAGGTCACCATGGTAGAAAAGTGAGAACAAAAACTACAGCCTTAGAAGACCCATCGTTTTTAAGCAGTTAGGCCATGAGTCTTCGAACTCAGGAACCGAGGGCCTCTGTCTGTGATGGGTATGGCAATAGCCACATATGAGTTAGGCATTGAGAGGGCAGGGCAGTCACAGGTTAAGAGAGCCAGGAAGCCATTGCTGTACATGTGTGAGGCTCCTGCGCTCCTGCACAGCAGCAGCTAAGAGGCTGAGAAGGAGTGAGAATATTGGCGGTAGAGGGAGGGAAGGGACATTTAAAGGCTGAGCTTTAGATTACTAAAGAAGAGCGCTAAAGAATGTTGAGCCTCTCATCACTAAGAGTACCTAGATAAAACCTGAATGAAAAACAGTATACAACAACCTTCCCAATTCACTGGGCTGAGCCCAAAAGTCTCACCATGTGGCCTTGATCTCCCCATGCAGTAACCAGGGAGTACAATGTAAAGTTCATCACTATATATTTATTTTTGCATTAATTCTACCAGAAAGAATATATAGGTAAGTTTAGCAAAGCATAAAATCAGAGGACAAGGGCAAAAGGGAGAACAAAATGTGTTATACAGTGTTCTAATTCTCAGAAAGGAAAAAAGTAAATATTTTTATGGGCAGAAATATTTTTTGGCACTAATCTACAAAAAAATTCTCATGAAGGACTTTTAAATAGGGAACACAACATAATGCAATGGACAGCATTTGCATCAAGTTTTACAGCAAACCCATTATGTCTACTTTGTAAGACCAATGTGTAGTCCTCATAATCTGATGATTAGAGACATCTGTCAAACATGAAATGTGATGGACAGCAATTATGGATGTCAACAATACCAGCCCAATCCTCCAACCAATTCCCTCATCTAAATAATCAGAGAAACTAAAACATTTCCAGCTCTGAGCCAGAATTCTTTACCTGTCCCATAAATAAGCTTTCGGAGGTTTGGAGCTGCTTGCTGCTGCCTCAGAAAGGCCTCAGCTGCCTTTCTGGAAAGGTCTTCCTTCCACTTGAGGGCACCTGAAACGACCAAAGCCAACCTCCAGTTAGGCTTGTTTACATGCCTCCCCTCCCTCAAGATCCATCCACAATGCAGCATTTCAACAGTTAACAAAATCACAGAATCAACAGACCCCCAAATGGAGACATTCCATTGGGTACCATTTCGAGAGCCAAGTTGATAGCAGCAACCAACTAAATTTAAGCTTACCTGAGGTTTCTTTGGAATCATTATTTTCTTCCTTGTAATCTTCTTCCTCTTTGAGTAAATCTTCTATATCACTGGTCTCATCAATTAAGTTCCTTGGCCCCAGTTTCTGACCACTGCTCACTTGAGAAGGCTTTGAAAGCTTTTTTCTAATAGCCTCTTCATTTTCTGAGTCCTCTTCCTCTGCACCGAGTGAGGAGCTTTCTTCAGATTCATCTTCAGATGCAAACGCCTCTTCAGCTGTGCAATGCCCAGAATCGGAAGTCATGAGGGCTGCTTTCTTCATCAGCAAAGACTTCTCCAGATCCACACGGTCACTCCGGCAATTCGCTGGTGATAGCCCTGCTTCACTACCTTCTCCAACAGCC